TCTTGGGCTACTCTTTTACCAACGAATAGTGGGATTGACCGTCACATTATAACGCCCCCACGGCTGAAAGGGCTATTATTTGGTATAAGTATGAATTTTTGAAATAGTTCTGATAGATGGTGTGATGTGCGTTGATATTCATAATTTATAGTGCATACTAAAGGAATTTACACATTCGGTTTGTTTGTTTGAAGTTAAGCACAAAGCTACACAATGAGCAATCTGTGCTCTGCCCACCACAGGTATCGAAACCCGGTTTCTATCGTTGTAAGTCCGCAGACATACCGCTGTGCCACTGGAGGGCTACACATTCTGATAAAAAAGTTAGAAAAAAAAACGACTTTTACTCCCCAGATAATTCTAAGAGGACTTTTATTTTAACAGATGTTTCGCGCCTTCTTCAGCTTTATGTACTATTCTTGAAGAAGCCGCAAAGGTAAAACGTCGTATAAAATAAAAATTATAATTATTTGGAGTGTAAAAGTTATTTTCTCTAAATTTCTCACCCCCTCCCTCCCTCCCCAAAGTGGCACAGCAGCATGTCTGCGGACTTACAACGCTAGAAACCAGGTTTCGATATCCATGGTGGGCAAATCACAGATAGTCCACTGTGTAGCTTTGTGCTTAACTACAAACAAACAATCTAACTTTATCATCAAAATGTGCACTGGTAGTTTATATAATTTAAGTTTCTCTAAATGTGGCTATAAAAGTTAAATTTTTTTGGTTTACATTAGGGTTTCGTTACGAAGTTTTGACTAGTCTTCCTTCGCCGGTTTCGTTCAATGGCCTTATGAATGAGTGTAATTGAATGGTTTTGATAATTTCTAATACAACAGGACTAATCAAATATTCATAAAACGTACCTTTTCTATGTGCATTATGTCACTTTGTAAATTAAAGTGAGGGGCTAGGAATCCACCTAGGTTATCAAGTATCTTTTCTTTCGACGCAATTTCTTCTTGTGGTAAAGTGTCCAGAATCCGGGGAATTTCGTTCTTAACTATATTATTTATGGAATGGAAAGCTTCCATGTCTGCATCAGTAGACTTGTCCTGGTGGCTCAATACAACCACATCCGGTGTTAGTGCTCGGGTGGAGTTTTCTTGGAGACATTGGAGGCAGTCTCCACCACTATTTTCCCCTTCTTCATACGACGTACAACAGCTACAGCAAGAAACACAACTACAAGATGATGTTGCTTCCAGGTTACTTACATCAGTATCACTATCCTCGGTGCTCTCTACGCAGGAGCAAGACAGTGAGTTACCTTCATCAATATCCGGGTAATTCGTTAAGGGATTACTCGCGCACGTCGTCATCTTTTGATCTGATGTGTTGGGATTCGATGCAGCTGTGAGTTTGTCATCAACATTGGCTCCCTCACTATCTTCAACAACAAACCCATTTTCTCTGAAAACTGCAATAGCTTTTCCTTCGTCGGCCAACTTATCACGTTTACAATAGTTAAAAACGGAATCATTTATTTCATTTAAGGATTTTTCTGTACTGGAATTCGTCTGGCGAGTTGTGTCCCCATGTTCAAGTTTACAATTTGTTAGGCCTGATTCTTCTTCACTGAAACAAGAAATTCTTTTTGAAGTATCATTACCGAAATTCTGTTTAGCTCCATTTTTTATGCACAACGGAATCAAATTACAAGCTATCTGCTTCTTGTTTTTCGTCTTGGGTTTTCTTTTCTTCGGACTACTGGGCGATCTCCGACAGCGATCGTTTGACCAAGAGTCGTGTTTGATATTGGTGTGTTCAGATTCTTGTTCAGTACAGTTATTAGTCATCTCACTGATTGTTAAAGATGTTTCGGTGTATAGAATATTTGTAGAATCTTGTGTACATTTTAGTGACTTCAATGACTTTTTCTCAGACTCAGAAATTGGATTTTTTTCACCAGACGGAACAATAGGCAGGTTGGGATTTCTTATAGATGACTCGGCTCCAGACTGTTTTTCAGAAAATACCGAAATTTGATGTTCACCTATTTCGATGTAAAGTTTTAGAAATTATATTTCAATAAGTGCTTTATCACATCGTAATCCAGAGATTTTAAAAAAAATATTTTGTTCGTAATTAGAAATGTAATCATTGATACAATAATTGTGGCTCTATCAAAATATCCGTAAGACATTTTCAAACTAAATGTTACGTCTCCGTTCGTTCGTTAATTAATTTTCCGTAAATTCGTTCCGACGAAACTTTAGCCACTTAAATAAAACTGGTTTATTCTTTCCGAATACAACTTTACGATACACTTAATTTCAACAGTCGCTCTATAACAAACGCTATAATTCTCAACGAACGTCTCACGTGGCCAACAATATTCTCTCTGTCAGCATACATTAAATTACTCAACCTCCCCGTCGCTTCGTGGTCGGTCTTATATATACCAGACTACCCCCAATCTAGTAGTCTCCCGACAATTCACGAAGGTTCGAGAAGGACGTGTCGTGATACTAGTCACGTGACCTCGCTGACGCAACAATATTTAATAGGTTTTAAGTATTTTGCTTCAAGTTTGTTGTCATTATGTTAGATTTCACGCAAAGCTACTCTAGGGTTGCATGACCACTGAGGCAACCCCAGAATACAGAACACTCCTTTGTAAAAGCTGTATCAAATACTACCATGTTTAAGAAGTTGTATCAAATACTACCATGTTTAAAAAGCTTTATCAAATACTACCATGTTTAAAAACCTGACCCATATATTAATTCTCTTGTATTGTGTTTATTTAACGACATTGTTACTGTCTGCATTTAATTTTGTTCATGAGTATCAAACTAATAAAAAATAATTATTATGACTAATTGAAATATATATTACAACACAAAACACCATAGTGAGGCAGACCTTATCAGTGTTTGTACTTCTGTTCATCCCGGTCCTCCTTCAGAAGTTTTTTGTTCTTGGGAAATTCGGAGTTCATTCCCCAGTGAATCTATGCATATCAGGAGTTTTGCTTTCACACTGTATACATTCAGCTTATTCCTTTCATTTCTCCAAGCACTGGTCATCGGAAAGAAAACTATCTCTGTATGAGCATTGCTGCATAGTATTGAAAAGATGTAAAATTTTATTTTCTTCAAGTTCCTAAAGTTTCCCTGTGCTTTAGTGATAACTTGTAGGTACCACTCTTTACTTGTCTGGCAAAATGATTTATTTATGTTTCGACAGAACATTAGTTTGTGAAACATGTAGTATGTTCCTTCTAAAACAAATCACTTCATTATACTTATATATCATATAATGGCTGGAGACGGCTTGAATGGGTAATGAAGAAAAACTTTAATATAAGTTTAACATAACAGCAAATGTACAACGTTTCGACAACTCTACTCTAAACCAACACCCCGGGGTGCCTAGATACCTCTTCTAAGTTTCACAACAGTTCCGGTCATGTGACTTCTTTTTTCAATACTATATATATATATCCGTGTCAGTGTATATTACTTGTACCTGATGATGACAAAACCTTGTTAAAACGTTGTACATTTGTTGTTATGTTAAACTTATATTAAAGTTTTTCTTCATTACCCATTCAAGCCGTCTCCAGCCATTATTAGTCTCAAAGTGGGTTCCTCGTCATCGAATTTGAATACTTATATATCGTTGTTTGCCAACTTATTATTAGCTATAATAATAAAATGGCGTGTCTCTGGGTCTGTGACCGCCATAATTCCAAGAAAAAAGAACCTAGAAACCTGAAAGTTTGCATACATACTAAGTGGGCCCTGAAGTTGTGCACCTAGGTATCATTACTGATCATCTGCATGCGTACGTACACATCTTTTTATGAAGCAAGGTAGGAGAAAACCACATAGAAAAGAAGTTTGACTACTATAGATCTAAGAAGAAAGAACCTAGAAACCTGAAATTTTGCACCCATACTAAGTGGACCCAGAGGGTGTGCACCTGGGTATTACTTATCCTGTTCACGTTCATGCGCGCGTGCGCATCTTTTTAATGGGCAAGGTAGAGAAAAACCACATAGAAAAGAAGTGGTTCCTTATATTACAAATAGAAATCACAGGCAGACATACACGTGCGTGCACGCATGCGCATCTTCTTAATGAGGCAAGCTAGCGAAAAACCACATAGAAAAAAGTGATTCCTTATATAACAACTTCTAATATATAGAAAAGCCAGTGCGTTTTGGTAACAGCACATTTTAACAATGGCTTTTATGTCATGTTGCTTAGCAACAAAGGTATATAGGTTATGCTGGCATAAACATTTAGAGCATATCAACATAATAACCAAAGCCGAGTACTTTCGCTAGTATTAGCATAATGTGCTTCATTACTCGTGCACTTCTTTTATACTGATAGCTTTAACAGCTTCACAAAATTCTTCAAAGTTTACAGGGTTTCCAAGACTTAACTTGGACACTTTACTGTGAAATCTGTCTTCATAGAAGTACTTCTTTGTTTTTTTTATAAAAGATTATAAAAATCCTTTTTACACCTTTAAGAAACATCTTGATTAAATTTATCCAGTTTCCAATTCACTGTGTATCTAAAGAACCTGTCCTTAATCCATCTCATTTCAGTTTCATCTTCATTCCATTCGTGAGGTCATACACTGAAAGAACAGACAGTTGGCTTCTAAAGCATCAGTGCAATCAGTTAATAACTTCAGAGCGTTGCTCAGAAAGAGGGAATAAACTTCAGTCACCTCACTGGCAATTCCTTCGTCTCAAAAGCCTTTCCAAAGTACTTTTGGAAAATGTTCCTATCTTAAGCCCTGGAAATAACTAATAAGAGGTCCCTAGCAATTCAGTATCCTATCGTTTGATAGCAAAAGAGACAGCCACTTGGTAGTCACGTGTCTCAATAGATTGCACTATACCACCTCAACAAATCTCCTTTAACTGTTCTGTTCTGCTAGCAGAAATGCACAAGTAGGAATATATTTTTAGAATTATAATTTCTGCATGAATTTCAAGGTTTTAGTTGCCTGCTTGCTTGAAGTATTATTTGCCAAAGAGAAATACAGCTCATTAACCTTAATATATTCTAAGTGTTTCTGAACTTGAATTCGGTGCTAAAATGTTTTCGCTCAATGCTTTTGCTTGGGCCTTACCGCAGTCTTTAGCTACAAAAGTCATGGTAAATCGTTTGATCTAATTTAACACTACAGTTAATGCTTCTGTAAGAGTGGCAGTGAGCAACAGCATGATACACTTTGCAAAGTTTAGCAGCAATCACATTATCGTCATGAGGCGACATACACACACTAGATTTGAAAAAATATATATTTATGTTAGAAGATGGACGTGCACTATGAATGTTCAGTTTGTGCTTTTTAGACGAAATATGTTGACTCAAGTACTTCTTCCTCGATTGCTGACATCTGTATCACGTCTGTATCACTGCAGAATGCATGGTGCTCTCATCTTTTACTTTTTGCAACGAACTTCTATTATTTTGATCATTCATGATTAAATGATGTTTTACGTTTCGCTGTGGTTAAATGCTAGGCCTGCTACTGGAAAAATATCTCTGCAACTGTCAGTTAGGTTAATAACGAGTAATTGGTTTTACCTACAGATAATCCACCAGGGCCAATAAACCAGCGAGGAGAAATAAATTACGGGTATTTCCACCAATGAAATATTACAATTAATTGTTTTAACTCAATTTTTGAAGCGTCTCACAATAAAAATAACGGATGAAAACGCATCCGATTCTGTATCAGACAAGAGCTAAACCTTCTGAAAATAGGGCTGTCCGCTAAAAAACTGGATCAATGGCCACCCTACTCGAGGGTTATCTGTGATAACCGTCTTTAATTTAAAAGCGATTTAACGATCTGTTACAGTGAAATAAAGAAAAAGGCACTATTTACGCGAGTAATAATAAAAAGAATTATAGTAATCTAAAATGGGAGAGCCAAATAGCTGTTTTCTAACTATACAGTGACACTCCTGCGCATTATAAAAAAATTCAATAAAATGTTTTTAAGGTTTTCTTTCGACGCAATCTAGGATCGCCAATTTGAATAAAACTTTTTTTCCCATCAAGACTTGCGAAAGTAATGTAAAGGTCACATTTAAGCCTATTTAGTAAATCAATCAAGGTTAAGAAAGTCGCTGTATGTAACAGTTTGTAATGACAAGTGGCTTTTGTGTGCATCACTTTTTAATTTCTACCTTATCATGTCAAGTACGTCAAGATTGATGGTATCGAAACCCTGATTCTAGCGTTGTAAGTCCGCAGACATACCGCTGTGTCACTAGGGGGCAATTGATGGTAGCCTACAATGTAGAGAAATAAATAATGTCAGGTAATATATATATATAAAGGTGTAATCCACCAGTATTCTACTGTACAAGATATCCTTGAAATTCAGAAAAAGTTTAATATGCAGATACATCATATGTTTTATACCTGCTTTAGTAATATAGAAAAGTTTTAAATTTTAAATTTTTTTTCAATTATTTAATTTCCACACTGTAATGGCGAAAATACGTGGTCCAGCAACTCGTTGACATTAACTTATTCTAATTACTTTGTTGATTCGTACTCTTTAATAGGTAATGTCTATTCTACCCGAGGGAATATTGCAATAACATACAGCGTCCGGATCAGAAGAATTGGCACTATAATATCCTTTATTTGTCGAGTTTGACGTTGATTAAATGTAACAGCTCACCCATTCTGTGAGAGAGAAAAATGGCCATAACGTGACACTTTCTCACTGGACAAAGAAAGCGAGATTACCTATTGATATCAGGCGCGCTTTTTTTTGAATCGATTTCACTAGGGAATTGTGGAGTGAAGATATACTTCAAGAACATTGTTTTAGTCCTATGGAGATTACTCCTGCAGGAGAGAACGCTGTGTAGCTAAACACAGACTGGTAGAAGCGATTGACTTTTTGTGTGTGCAACTATACACGCTGCGTGTTTTGTCGAATAATACAGATTGTTTTCATTTTTAACGCCTTTGTTCAATCTCATTATATCAAGCTTAAAGAAACACAGTCAAGGCATTTACTACAGAACACTCTCCTTATTTCTTGTTCGAATCTGTCAGGATTAACCTATTAAGAGTGGGAATGCTAGGGTTAAGAATACCACTGCCAAGGTTAAGATTACCACTGCCAAGGTTAATAATAGCAATATCAGGGTCAAGATTACCACTGCAAAGGTTAGTGGTAATATCAGGGTTAAGATTACCACTGCCAAGGTTAAGAGTGCCACAGCTCTGATTAATAGTGGCAATATCAGGGTCAAGAATGTCACTGTCAAGGTTTAGAGTGCCAATGCCGGTGTTAAGGTTTGTAATGCAAGTGGGGAGGGTTAAGAGTGCCTCCAAACAAAAAATGGCAGCGTCACAGCAATAACAATTGAAAAACAAATTAAATCCCAATACAAAGATAATATATCGTCAACTCTTCAAGTAAACGTATCTCATCGACAATAGGAAGTTATGTATCTTGCTGACAACCCTTTGTGGTTTTCGGTTTATAGATGTCACTTTTGATTCATGTTGCCTTTTTCTCAGAACCTAAATTTTTCTGAGCAATTTGCCAATGGATATTTTTGTTTTTTTCAGTAGATAATATGGTTAAACATTTATATATTTTCAGGAAGTTATTAGAACAACCACCATAATCTAATTCTAAATTATTTGTTTGTTTTTATAACAAAGCCACATTGGGATATTTGTTTTGTTAACGGTAGGAAATCGAACCACGGATTATAGCGTTATAAAATCAGAAGCTTACCGCTGTCCCACCGGGGGATCTAGCTATAAAAGCTCTTTGAGTGTTTTCTAATTTCTTATCCTAATAATTTAATTTATGGCAGTATGCTTGATGAGGTAGTGTGCCAAGATTAAGATACCCCCCTCCGTAAAAGTTGAAGTGTCAGCAATAAATAAATCGCAGGTAAAAAAAATCTTGATTAATATCTAGATGATTCAAACCGGAGTTTTATGGAAACTTTTTAATATTTTATATTTTGCTGATTCCAAATAGAATAATATTAGAAATGTATCCTGAGCAATTTCTGGCATTTATAAGTTTTTGAAAGGAAAGATAGTGTCGGTGTACCAAAATATTGTTACGACAGCGGAGGTCACGTGACACTAGTAACACGCCACGCGCTTTTAGAACGTTTATGAAGCGTCGGGAGACTACTAGATATGGGGTAGTCTTGTATACACTGAGTGGTCACAAGTAAATAGACACCTAATTTTTTGATAGGAAAGATAGTGTTAGTGTACCAAAGTATTTTAAACGCTGATAGAGATGTTAGAAACAGTCTATTTCTTGTGACCACGCTTTGAACAGGCTAACAGTGAAAGTACTACAGAAAGCATTCAGTGCATTCTATTCCATACGAATAACATGGAAAAGTAATCAGCTGTGTGGAGTAAGAATACGTGAATAGTAATAATTAGGAACGGATGCCAACTATCATAACTTTAACGTCAATTACAAGTATGTAAATAGGTAACGAAGTAGGCGTAAAGTGCGCAGACTAGTCAGGTGTATTTTGAAAAGGTTTGTGAAACAATTGTGATATATATATAAAACATAGCAATATTTATATATATTTACTTCGAAAGATTAGTTAGATCTCATTTATGTATCACGAATAAAAATTAACACACACACACACACACATATATATATAAATATTTGTGTAAGATGTTGTGTAACTATGATGTAAATTAAATCATTAAGGCGTCATTGTAATTTTTTTATGGTGTTTGATTATATTCCCATGTTTTCTACACGAGGGCGCTTTTCCCTAATACAGTTTAGCATATTCGCCTGCGGCACCTTGCATAGCAGGTACTGGACTAACGCAAATATTTAAAGTGTAAATCTAAATCGTACATTATTTTATTTGGTTTTAACTCATTTATGAAAATCCCAAGAGAAAAAAGACGTTTCGTTCCGAAAGGAGAAGTATTATTCATGGAATATCACCAGATACCAACGTTTCTAAGAAGTAACTCGTATATTCTTAGTGGATATCGCCCTATTGGTCGGACAACGACAGAAAACTTAAAGAGTGTCTACTGCTGGTCTAATGAAACCCTGAACATTTGGACTCATATCATAGGATTCTTTCTATTTTTTTGGCTTCTGCTTTATGACATATTTGTTGAAATTCCAGCGTTAAATCTCCCTCTACAGGATGTTGTAACATTTTTGTGCGTGCTGGTAAGTTTTCTTGGGACAATGTTTTTCTCTGTAATGTATCATACGATGAAATGTCAGTCAGAAAAGGCGTTTATGATGTGGCTTAGCTTGGACTTAACTGGTGTCACAGTAAGCATGACTTCTATTTTCGCTTCCGGAATTTACTTTGGTTACCAATGTTTTCCTGAATGGAAAACTTTTTATATTTCAATTGTCGGAGTTTTAACAGTCAGTTTACTCACCTTACATTTTCACCTAGATCAGCATTATCGGTTAAAAATGGCCTTATTTGTTTTATGGGCACTTTTTGGTATAATGCCTACTGTACATTGGTTATGGCTGCAGGGTGGATTCCATGATCCTCTTGTAAAGATTTTCATACCAAAGATTGGTGTAATGTACTTGCTAGTTGGAGTAGCATTCTTCTTCTACATCAGCCGTATTCCTGAACGCTGTTGTCCGGGCAAAGTCGACTACATAGGAAACAGCCATCAAGTCTGGCATTTACTTATCGTGTTTGCTATGCTTTGGTGGCATGAGACAGGCCTAACTTTTGCATATGTTCAAACACAATATAAGTGTAGTGTAGTTTGAATATGTAAGCAAGTAATATTAATTTTAGAATTTAAAGTAATTATTGCATAGCAGACTTTTTATAATACTCTTACGTATCAAAGTTCTAGTATTACATGTAAACTTGAGCTTACCTACATTATTGTGACTTTCCAAATATGTTATTTTGTGGCCTATCTTCGAGATTTTTCAAATAGAGAAGAAACATACAGTTTGAATTTTACTGATACGATATTTATGTATTTAAGTCTACCATATGGAGACATACGATATATTTCTTGTGTTTCTATTTAATGTTATTTCCAATAATCAAAATTCTGCACCACACCTTTACTTTTGGGCCGATCGTCTTGAAACCTGGAAAATGTATACGCTCAGATCTCATTCAATTTTTTTTTTATTCTTTGAGTTCTCGTTTCAGTTTTACGAGGTCAAAACATTACAAAAACAGCATGGCATCCAGTTTCCATATACTTCCATCAAACCAAATGAGACTTCGCACAAAAATGCCTTGCAACAACCCTCACATTTGCGAAAGGTAAAAAATACTTCGCAAAATATGTTTTTTTAGTCTGCCATTCCTCTGTGTTTCGGTCTCCCGGTGAGAATTACAACGAACTAACAACGCTAAAATCCGGGGTTCGATTCCCTGCTGTGGACACAGCGGATAGCTCAATGTGGCTCGCTCTAAAACAAATAATCAAGCAATCCTCTGTGTTTCGGTCTCCCGGTGAGAATTACAACGAACTAACAACGCTAGAATCCGGGGTTCGATTCCCTGCTGTGGACACAGCGGATAGCTCAATGTGGCTCGTTCTAAAACAAATAACCAAGCAATCCTCTATGTTTCGGCTAGTCAACAACATCCACGGCACATTTTTCGCTACTGTTATCAGACCGGATAGTGGGATTTAACCGTCACTCTTATAACGCATCTACCTACAGCTCCGAAGTATCACAAGGTGATTTAAACTTTATATATTTGTAAGTTTTGGGAGATCCAGGTGCGTTACCAATGTTTCAACAAGGTGATTTAAACTTTATATTTTTGTAAGTTTTGGGAGATCCAGATGCGTTACCAATGTTTCAACAAGGTGATTTAAACTTTATATATTTGTAAGTTTTGGGAGATCCAGATGCGTTACCAATGTTCCAACAAGGTGATTTAAACTTTATATTTTTGTAAATTTTGGGAGATGTAGATGCGTTACCAATGTTTCAACAAGGTGATTTAAACTTTATATATTTGTAAGTTTTGGGAGATCCAGATGCGTTACCAATGTTTCAACAAGGTGATTTAAACTTTATTTTTGTAAATTTTGGGAGATGTAGATGCGTTTTACTTTTTAAATGCGAATTTGACTAATACAACTTTGATTATATAATTTTATAACACAGTATAGGCTAGACGAGCATGACGAATAAATGTATTAACCCAATCTTTCTCTGTAATAAAACATAATATAAAAATGCTTTATCTCCTTTCTGCGTGATGAAACATATCATATAAATATATATGTATTATCCCCGTCTTTCTGCGTGATGAAACATATCATATAAATATATATGAAGATAGCTTTTATATACGGAAATACCTGTTAGCTGAGTTCATGCACATATCTTAAAATATAACGTTGATAAACGGAAACATCGGCACATGTAGATGTGTACCCCTGGAAGAAACCATCAAAATTTGTGCTGATACTTTGTATGGTGGAGAAGTTCAGTGCGCTACAATATCTAAGGATCGGTTTATTGAACTGATGAATACCGCGACACGTTCGGTGGAATTCAGCTTTAATGATATCGTGTATCAACAGATTGACGGAGTCGCCATGGGTTC